GGGTAAATGTACAATTCTAAATGTAGAGGCTCGAGATCCTCTTCCTCTCTAATAAACTAAACAAATTTATTTCTCTCTCACAATTCAAAATGCATTAGGTCCTTGTTTAAGGCTACACTTGTATGTACGATACGATTTTCACTTCGCAATCTTATTTAAAGAAAATATTTATCAAAATTAATAAATGAATAAAACAAATCTTCAAACAATATTAATTTCGATAAAAATTTAAAAATTCAAGATTAGTAAAAATTGGAGCTACCCTGTACAATTTTGTTTGGGAAAAAAAATCAGTTTTGGTCCTTGTAGTTTGCCTTTTTTTTAAATTTTGGTTCACGTAGTTTTAATTTTGTCAATTTAACCCTTGCAATTTGATATTATCGCAATTCAAGAACACATCCAAATTTCCATCCAATTTTGTTCAAAAGAAAATACCCCTCCACATAAGAGACACGTGTTTATTTCATCAAGAAATTGGATGAAAATTTGGACATATCCTTGAATTGCAATAAAAGTAAACTACACAGATAAAATTGCCAAAATTGAAACTACATGGATGAAAGTGAAGAAAAAAAATCAAATTACAAAGTGTCATTACGATTTATCTTATTTTTTAAAATATTTTATTTTATTTTAGAATTAAAAAAGATAAAGGATAGTTGTGTTCCATAAAAATAGGGGATTTGAATCTTCTACTTGTTTTTTCTCTGCTATAATCTGCTTGACTTTTTATACTAAGGGGGGTGTATTCAATTAAGATTTTAAAAGAGTTAAATGGAGTTATAAAATTTATAGAGTTCGATATAGTTCAATTGATTTCTATAAACTCCACATAGAGTTTGATTGAATTCTTCGATTGATTTTAATGGTGTTTGTTAGAGTTTTGTCATAGATTTTAAAAGAGTTGATTAGAGTTCTAATTTTTTTTTCGAGCTGTTCATTGTTTTTCTAGATTTTCAAAAGAGAAAAGTACCTTTCTAAAAACATTTTGTAAAGAACTTCCAAACCATATACATCCAAAGGAAAAAAAAAAGGGCATCTATTTTGTTCAAATGTGTAACCAAATAAGGATTTATGTCTGCATGTTTATGAAAAATGCGCAAAAGTAAAAACATAAAAGTAAGGCATTCTCGCGTTGGTGTTCTTGGGTTTGAAAAACTTGGTCATAATTATTTCCCTCATTTTCTGGTAACGATGACAATGTTGAATGCTCGATGTCTTCTGTTGTATTCCTAAAAGGACACAAATTAATGTGCAAACAACCAATTAAAAATACCCGCAAGTGCACGAATCTAATGAAGTATAGATTATGTAAGTACGGGGTCGATCCCACGAAGAACTTGTCGGCTCCCTATAAGTTCTAATTTGAGTACGTAAAGAATACTAATTTAACACACCACAAATGCACAAATGCAAATTGGAAACTAAAAATGAGTAAAGAAATGTAAAAGAAATGAAACAACACAAGAAAACTAAAGAAAAACACAAACAGCACTTTTTATCACCCTTTTATCACCTATGAACAGTGCTAAAGCGACCGGTCGTGAGGCAGAAGCAACCGGTCGTTTTTGGGCAGAGTCGAAACTCAAATTTTGACGTGAAAAGCGACCGGTCGTCAGGTAAAAGCGACCGGTCGTTTTTGGGCAGATTCGTTTTCTCTGTTTTTCAGTTTCGACCTCTGTCCAGTGTTTTGCCTATAACTTTCCAACCGTACGTCCAAAATTCACGTTATTTATACGGTTGGATTCAGCACAGAAAATGCAAGAACACAACGCGGACCAAAAGTCCAAAACAATTACGAAACAAACAAAATTCAGTGACAAAGACACAAAACGTGTCAAACACGCAACTCACACACACATTGGGGGGGTTTTTTGATTTGGTTCAAGTGACCTATTTCTATTGCATGAAAGTAAATGGACTTTGAATTTAAATGAGAATGGCAGAGATGAATTATCAAAATGTGAAAGTACCAAGTAACAAACACTAGGGTTTCGGAATCCACCCTAAACAATTCTACCCAAGTTCATGAATACTCAAGTAATGAACTCTAAACGTGTTGATGAAGATGTTCGCAATCAAGACCATGGGTCGTGGCTCAAGACGCATTGATTCTCTCTAATATACGTAAAGTGCATGGTTCGTGCTACAATACTTGTGCCCTCCCCATAACCGAACCTAGGTATGGTTCGTACTTCAATTCGATTGCAAGGAAAACCCATTAAGTTCAAAGAGAATATGAACATCACAAGAACCCTAATAGCATGGTGTTTACATTAGGTATTCAAGAAACCAA